TATCAAGATACCACAGAGTATCTTGATAGTTTGATGTGAAAATAGATTAACAATCAAGCAAACAATGAAACAAATTTATGTCGATCAAACAACAATAAGTAAATGAAAAATATGTGTAAGAACACAGAGAATTACAAGGAAAGCCATTAATCCTTTTGGATCTCCGACATAAAACCTCAAGAGGTGATGAAATCACATGCCTTAGAATTTATATTAAATCGAAATGAAATTATCTGTGCTAGCTGATCTTAGAAATAACGTGAATGTGCTCAAGTTTCGAAAGAATCAGAGAAGAAGAAGTAGTGGAATTGCCTGTGTGCATCGATCAACTAGTCTTTTTATACATAACAAGAATAACTATAATTTTGACATTCTTGGGATTCTCCTTGATATTTTCTTGATCCGGCTTTCTCGATAGTCTTCAACGTTCATGAGGTATTGACCACATGTCGTTTGACTTCGTGTTTTCCTTTCTTGTCAAGCCTTAAGTTTCTGCATAAGATATCACAATAAATACGGTGGAATACCAAAATACTGATTAAATCCAGGATCTTGGGCTTGCCCGGGATGTTAGTACAAGTTCAAGATAATAAAATAGTAAGTCAAAATTTCTACCCACAACAAGGTCCATTATAAAATTGCTCATGCTCACGTGGTGATGCTCACAATCATTCACGTTCACAATTTCTTAGAGAGTATTTTTACTTTGTAACATCTGAGAGCACTTGTAGAGTGCTTAACCTTTAGAAGTTCTAGAGCACCTTTAGAGTTTTAGAGCATCCTTAGATCTTTCAAACACTTGTAATCAAATTTTAATGGATATGAAAATGAAACATATTTTTTGATTGCTTGTTTAGATTGACAGTTGTTAACTTTCCGTACCTTTGCCATTTAACGATTTTGAAACTCTGGTTTCAATTTTCAACACTTGGACTTTTTAGTTAGGTTTTCTGTATTATTGATTTATAAATTTCTAACAGTATCATTAATCTGAGATATGTTACTCACCAAGTGTTGTGATTATAGTTATTAATCTGAGATATATTTAAAAGCTTTAGAAGACATTTCCATTGTATATAGTACTTTTCTTGGTAGAACCCAATTGACGCTCATGTTATCTATTTATGGATGTATGTAGTGATCATATGATATTAATGTATGCTGACATGCTTATGAAGTACATCTTTTGTTAATATCCATAATTGTATTGGTTAAAAGAAAAAGTTTGGGTTTACTCCTGTTGAGATTGTGATGTTTCATTTTAATAGCTCATCATTGAAGAAGTTGCATGTTGTATTAAACCTTAAACACTAAGTAAATCAGTTAGTACAATACTTTTTGCAGATTATTGTGTGCACATCATCAAAACAAACGGAGAACAATAAAGATTGAGAAAACATGCAAGAATATACTATTATACACCGACATTTTTTTTTTGAAACACATGTACCGGTAAAAATGTTAAACTTTTGGCTTATGTAGCACAACGTTATAGATCCACATAGTGTTATCTTAAGGCAATAGTTTGAGCGGCAAATTTGGGTGGAATAAGAGTGTTTGTTGGTATCTTCCATTCTTATTCTGTGGAAACCTCTAAAATCACTTATGTAATATAAATAAGTTTTTTGGGATCATTTCCTCCTAAAACATTTGAGTATGTTTGTATGGAGAGTTAATAGTAAATCACTTATGTACTATAAATAAGTATTTTGGGATCATTGCCTCCAAAACCATTTGAATATGTTTGTATGGAGAGTTTATAATAGTATTGATGTCTACAACTCTTTAGTGTCAAGACGGTCCTAAGAGGGTTATATTCGTCAAATGCAATATGGAAACTTATTGCCGTTAAAGATAATAATTATCTATGTCAATGAATCATCGTATGTGTTAGCCATACAAAAAAAAAAATATATTAAAATATATTTAAAAAAGTTTTGAAAATTAACATATAGCAATATAACTGAAAAATCCTTTTAATAAAAAGCTGCAAACTTATCAATAAGATATTTCAAACAAAACCTTTAAAGAAACTAACTTAAAAATTAATTTACGAATTTCACAAAATACTATATCGTAATAAAATAAAAAAGATAAGGATATTTATAAATTAAATCATGGAAAGGAATTAAAAATAAAAATAACATTATTGTTGACATAATCATTGAAGAGATACTTTCATTGGCCTGTTCTGCCAATCAAGACATTTCTATTTATTTTTTTCGAATATACAGACAAGGACCGGACCTACCATTTGATTACGTTTGCACGTGAACACTTTATCAAATTCTTTTGTAGTCTTATGCAATGTATACACGATGGTTATTCGATAAAATAATAAAAACCGAAGGGCTTTTAACTTTTTATCACCAAAAGATTATTATTTTTAAATATTACGACAAGATGATATTTATATATTTCTTTTAATTTTTTAAATTTACTATTTCTGATCATCCCAACAAAATCCCTTCATGTTTTATGAAATCTATATCATTTATGTTTTGGAATTTCATAATATTATGTGAATATATTTTTTATACGGTTTAATTTTGATTAGAACTCATCAAGGAAAAAGATAACAAAACAATTACAATTTACAGATAAATGTTTAGTAAAGAGTTATCCATAAAGTCCAAGTAATATTTGCGTTAAATTATGATGTACAAATGTATAAATTTAAGAATATTATTATTATTATTATTATTATTATTATTATTTTATTATTATTATTATTATTATTATTATTATTTTTTTTAATATTGACTTTATGTTGTCTATCCGAGAATCATTCAAAAGAGGCAATCACAATCCTTTCGAAAATGATACTTCTAGTAAAGTCGTGCGATTGAAAAACCACATTATTCTAAAACTTTGAAATCGTCCACATGGTCGTCAAAAGTAACACTTCCAAAGCTTTTGTCTTCATCTTGATTAAGGAAATTCTATCAACCCAAGACAAGAGCTCTTAAATATTAATCAAATATAGAAACGGCAAATCTAACCACTTAGCAATCCGCAACTAAAGCCAAGCCGTCACACCACAAAATAGGTTTACATGATTTATGTTTTCTTGTTGACACCAACAAGGACATAAAGTAGAAGAAACATCATGCCCCCAACCTCCATATTCATTATGGTTAAGAATATGTTCATTACAACTTTCTACGCAAGGACATTAATCTTTATCGGTGCCAATTTATTCAATTGACTACTAATTTACACACTTAAAGCATAACATCATCAATGTAATATCTAGTACAACTCACGATAAACAACCAATTCATATCTAAATCCCACTCCCATCTATCCATAGCATCGTTAAGAGAAATAGTATTGAGCATACAATTCAAAGTCGATAATTGCTTAACCTCAATGCCATCCCTAACCTATCTATGCCAATTCCAAGATATCCCCATCACCATTTCTATAATAGCACCTGATTAAAATCATACAAACTTCTGATCCCAAAACAGATTTCTCAAGCAAGTTTAACATCACATCCCACTTTATCGAAGATATCTTTCGGTCATTATTATTGTTGGGTGTTCTATGCATCTATGCACAAAAATTAGGCAACGGAAGCATTCAATAATAACCCTAAGTGTACATGCACCCTAGATCTAGGTTTTACTATTATGACAACCTACTTTCAAAACTATGAATTTAAACTACCAAGATGGATAGAATTACTAACCTTTCAAGTATAATCATATATACTTGTGATTTCCTTGAAAATCATGAACTCTTGGTTGCTTGTAAAAGGATCTAGCACCCAAAGTAGGAATGCCTCTAAAGGCACACACCCAAAAGTCTAAAACCCTAGAAAATTTAGGAGATATGAGAGAGGGTAACGAGAATCAAAAATCTCATCCGTACAGGAGGTAGAATTGGATTTTATGAAGGCCAGAGAGGTCTTTATCTTGCTGAGGTAACTTGCATATAAAGTTGATTTGAATTAATTAAATAATCAAATTTAATCATAACTCAAATCATTTCCTTTTATGTTATCTGGATTGATTCCAGAAGCTCCCAGAGCCTTTCCAAACCGTCCACCCTCTTAGGGTTTCCAGAATATTCATCTTGCTCAACTACTGAGAAATTAACATTCAATCCATATACCTTTAAATAAATCCTTATGAATTCTAATTAATTTCAAATTACTTCTGATTAATTCTAACTAGTTTCTAATTAATTTATTAGCATGTAGTAAATTAATAAACTATTTATTTCACTCTCTTAAATCATTTTCTAGATATTTTAGCTCTTGAGGGCAACCATAAAAGTAGACCTGGAAAAATCTGACATGACACAAAAACCCCGCACAAACCCGACATAAATTAGCGGGTTTGGGTAAGAGATTTCAACTCATTTATGTACACGGGTTGACACGACACGACACGACACGAAAAATAAATGGATAGAGTTAGGGTCAAGACTTTCAACTTGAAGATGACTCGAAGATGACCCGTTTAATTATATATAATATTTAAAAAAAATTATATTTTTATAATTATATTATATATGATTAAAATTATAATAGGCCAACCTAATCAATAAGAAAAAGAATTTTGGCCTTGTTAATATTTGGACTGTTAAAAACCGATTCACAAGTCCATTAGGGTTTTGCAAACAATCAACCCTAATCTAAGTTATTGAATTTGTATTTCATCAACCGTATACCCTAATGTTCGTATCACATTCGCTTCCCTCCTTCACGAGTCACGACTTCAGCAAACAACACTAACAGACTAGCGGTTCACCCTCTCCTTCACCACATCATCGACGCTTCATCATTTGTCCTGTACCACTTCATCGACGCATCGTCATTCGTCTCCCACCTCCGAATTCTCAATTGTCGTTGCATCCCATCCTTGTCGCCGCCCTATTTCAGCCTCTAAGGTAAGCATCGAATATTTTCTTTATCTTTATTACAATTTACAGCCAACTATACTCGATAATCACCCCGTTTATGTTCTTTGTCTTTATTACAACTAACTACAATGGGTGATCCTATTAACTTGTCTGGTGATGAAGGTGAAGAGGAGATTGGAAGTGTTCCAAATAAAGAAAAAGTTCTATCGGGGTCTAAAGCTTCTAAAGCTGCTAAGGAGAAAGTAAAGAAAGTGAAACCAAACTTATCTGGTAACCCTTTGAAACGCCAACGTAAACTAACTTCCCTATACCGGTGTTGCATTAGTTGAAAAAGTTTATGGGGTGTTAAAAGAATGGGGAATTCATAATAAAGTAGTATCTATATGATGTGAAATAATTATGCACTAGTTTTAACCAACTAATGTAACTAATTATTACTCCTAAGGCAATGTACCTAGTCGAAAATAGAATATCACAAATAGTCAGGTATCAAACACAGGGAACAAAATTATTAGCTAATTTTATCTACTAAGTTACCTAAATTACTATTTAATAAAAGAAAGGGTTTTTTCTCTAGTTTTGCAAGACTAGAAACTTAATTAATCAAACTAAAACTTAGAAAGAAACTAATTATCAACTAATGAAACAAAAAGCAAAACAAAAAGCAAGAAACACAAAAAGATGATTTTAATCAAGATAAATGAGAGACTTTCGTTTAGATTCGATATACTTGCTATTATGGTTGATTTAATGGAAGTGCAATGGATTAATTCTTCATTGATTACCGATTTCTAAGATGACCAAATTAATGTTCACTAATCTAATCCTTTAGCAGATAAGTTCATTCATACGGTGATCAAGCGGATAAATTAACAAATTTATTAGTGTTCGGTTCGAGTTATGTTAGACTTATAATGGATTGATCTATTTGGTTAATTAAAAAAATTAAATATATGATTGGTCCTCATATATTAGCTCCTACATTTACTTACTCACTTTTCTATTTAACCCTAGGTTTTGGTCAAAACACTAGTCCTACAATTTTGCAATTCACAAGATCATAAGATTCAAGTTAATCAAGCATGAAAGGTCATGTAAACTTAATTAAACTCAACAATAAATAGAAAAGTAGTTATCATAAACATAGAAAGGTTCTTTAATAAGCTAACATAACAAATAACCAACTTAGCATAATCCAATCCATATATCAACTCATAAATAAGCAAATAATCTAGTCTAAACGAAAGTTAGGATATTTAGCCCATAACTTCAACAAACAAACATGTAAAAATGAAATTCAACTTGTAATCCACGATCAAACACAGAAAGAATAAGTAAATATAAGTAGTTTTGCCTTAGATCTCTCAAAACCAAACTTTTAATCGATCTTCTGCAACTCCAAGCTTCCAAATAACGTTCTTGACCTTCAAAAGTCGACTAAAGCTCCAGAAAAAGTTAGTTTTATGGAGGAATGTGCCTTCTATATATATTTCTCTCGAAGTCGGTTCACCACGTCGTGGGAAGTCCACCACAGAGTGGTCTTTGGGTTTATCACGTAATCAACAAGTGTTCGAGGTTCTTCGGGAGAATTCAAAACGCCACGTAATGGTAATGTCACCACGTCATGGTAAGGAGACTTTTCTTTATTTTAGCCCTGATCCAAGTTCCAAGCTTCCAACTTCCTTCCTTTTCGCTCTTGAGCATGTCTTTTACCTCTACAACACAACATATAATAGATTAAGTATCTTTGTCCTATAATGATCATAAAAATGGATAAAAATATTAAGATATGATGTAATATGTATATATATATATATATATATATATATATATATATATTTATATATATACATATAGATATGCACATATCACTATAACTTTAGACAATGCATCTTCGAATGATTCTATGGTCGATGCTTTGAAATTGGATTTGGATCTGTTGTGTGATGGTGATTATTTCCATGTCCATTGTTGTGCTCACATTCTCAACTTGATAGTACAAGATGGTTTAAAGGAATTATATGAGGCTATCAAAAAAGTGAGAGAATGTGTTAAGTATTGCAAGGGTTCTCAAAACAAGAAAAAAATGCATTTTCACGTGTCGTTCACCATGTTAGCCTTGAGTCGACTAGAGGGTTAACACATGATGTCTCTACTTGTTGGAATTCTACATTTATCATGTTAGATAGTGCATTGTTTTATAAAAAATAACTTGTTCAGATGGCAAAGACCGATGCTAATTTTGTTCATTGTCCTAGTTCTCAAGAGTAGTCAAAGATTGAATTTTTTTTTAAGTTTTTGAAAGTTTTTCATGAAGTGACTTTAGCCTTCTCGGTTTCCAAGTATCCAACAGTCAATCTTTATTTTCCTAATGTTCTCAAGATAAGATTGCTTTTGAAAGAGGAAATGGTAAGTAAGGATGATTTTATAAAGAGCATGGCAACTAAGATGAACTTGAAATTTTACGAGTATTGTTCTGATTTTAGTACTATCATGGGTATTGCTGTTATTTTTTTATCCCAGTTACAAGTTTTAGCTTATTGATTGGGCTTTCAAAAAGGCATATGGCTTATCTTCCGATCTCGAGTTAGATTGTTTAAAAAAAATTATTTTCTTTGTTTGATGAGTATGTAGCCATTAATACCAAGTCCAAGGCAAATGAAAGCTCACCTCCCTCTCCTACAGTTGATGAAAAGTTATCTGACACATATATGACGGTAAAAAATGTTCTATAATTTCATTTTTTAATTGTTTTTTATTTTTGTTTTCCAACTTTAATCTTTTTATTAGGATTTTGATGAATTCTTTAGCTGCGAGTTTACCACCGATGGCAAATATGAATTGGAATCGTATTTAGAAGAGCCAAAATTACCTCGTATGTGTGATTTGAATGTGTTGGAGTATTGAAAACCCCTTCAAGGACGGTTTCCCATTGTTTCTCAAATGGTTAGAGACATTTTGTCCATCCCAATCTCTACTGTTGCTTCTGAATCTGTTTTTACTATAGGAGGATGAGTTCTTGATGCTTATCGGATCTCATTAAAGGCAGAAACCGTTGAAGTAATTGTTTGTCTTAGAGATTGGGCTTTCAAAGAATGTAAGAAACTAAAAATGCATATTTTTTTTTGTTTTTTTGTATTAGTGCAAAAACTGTTAAAAAACTACACAAATAAACTTTTTTTTAAAAAAAATTGTATTTTTATTGTTAAAAAAACTGCACAATTTTTTTTAAAAAACTGCTTTGTTATTGTTTTTTTTATAAAAACTACAACATCAGTATTGATTTTTTTATTTGTACCCTAATAACGGGTTTTTGTATTTGTAGCATCATTGCAACCTGAAATTGGGGCGTTATGAAAAAAGGTTACTACATTGAAGGTTGATGTTGATGAAGATGCAAACGAAAGTAACACATCTGGTGCTCAAATATAACAATTAAAATTATGTTAAGGAATAAGGATGAAGAAGAAATAGCTTGAAAAAGACTTGAATTTAATGTTTTGAACTTTTAATGTTTTTTTGGTTTTAAACTTGTTTTTTTGTTAGATTGTAATCTGTTTAATGTTTTGGTCATTTGGATGATTACTTGAACTTTTAATTTCTTTTGTTTTTGGTATTTCATGACATTTGGATGATTACCTGAACTTTACATTTCTATTAGTTTTGATAGTTGATGACAATGTAAACTTTGTATTTTGTTTACCATTTTATGCCAAAATCATGGGTTACACGGGTTTGGCGGGTTTGACATGTTTTATGGGTTAAACGGGTAACATGTGTCGTGTCAGGTTGGCATGGTTATAACCGATTCGTGTCCGTGCCAGGTTTTCCAACCCGTTTTGTCTCCATGTCAACCACCCTCAACCCGTTTAATGTCCCAACACGACACGATACAGCCCGTTTGACAAGTCTACCTAAAAGGACTTTGTTATTATTCCCAAAGTTATAGCAATTAGTTATGACATTTGACACCTATTTCCAATAGTCTCCCACTTGGACAAGTCATCAACTAATATTGGTCGAATAATATTCGAATAACCAATTAATTTGTGTCTTCCATAACAACAGCCGAACTCTGATCTAATCAAAAGTCATCCCTTAGATAAGTGATCAGTTATTCCTTTGTTTCTACAAGATATCATTGTAAACTGAGTCATGGATAATGAATCAACCAAAAAGTTCAACATTATGTTTCTCTATTTATGATTCATGATGTTTTAATCGGACTACCAATTAAACACATCCATTTAGTTCGGGATAGGCCTAACATGTTAATATCAACGTCAAATCATCCGGGGGCCCACAATATCGCGTTTTCCTTTGAGGCGAAAAGGAACAAATAAACTTTGACTACATAGTTTTTTGTCTACTCATAAAATAATACCTAGACTTATCTGTTTTAACCACCAGTTACGGGTAGCGTTAGAGTAACACTAATACACAATCAACTCGTATGCAAAGAACTCAATGTCTCTGCGTTTTAAGAATAAAAGATATTATCATCTCAGAATTACTCGTGATTGAATCCATGAAGTAATCTCTATGAGTGTGGGTTTCTCCAATACTTAAATCTCTATTAAGCACTCATGAATGTTAGTTGCAGTCTCTATGTTATGTCTAATCACTATAGACAATCTACTAACACTTCACGACAATCTTAATTTAATACTCACTCCCAATAGTATGACCAAATGTGGAGTTTGAGGAAATTAATACTCAGGAAGTGGGGATCTAAACATGCAAAAACGAAGAAGTTATGGCCCGTCGAAGTTTTACGGCAAAACCGGCACGACATCGGGAAACGTAAATAATGAATTTATGATAGAGGACTTTTTAGCCTTAGTAATCTAAACTAAAGTCGTAGAATATGTTAAACCGAGAGCGTCAATAAAAAGAACGCCCAAATCTGACTTCGTATGAGGAAGTTATGAATTTTCTAAGATTTTGCTTAGCAGTGAACAGCCCGAAACTCGAATTTTAGATCGAGCGGTTTTTGGCCTACGCGACCTAAATGAGAATTGAAGATCTCATTAATAGGAACTCAACGGTAAAAAGACAGACAAAAACGGAGTCCGTATGTAGAAGTTATGAATTTTACGCGGACCTTTAACTGTATAATCTCCTCGTACTGTTAAATTTAATATCGGTCGAGAATTAGCCGACAGAGTCAAAATGAATGTTGTAGATATTATGTTTACCTACGCATGGATATAAAGAACGTCGAAAACAGAGCTCGTATGCGGAAGTTATGAATTTTTGAAAATCGGCTGATTTCCACCCTATGTGCGATGCTACGTGTCAGCACCTGGCTCCGACTTGGAGCCCAAGCTCACTCACGACGTGAACCTCAAGAAATTCACGACGTGAATCTTCCTCCAGCCCCCTATAAATAAGAGGTGAAGCCCTCTTCATTCCTCACACCTCCCATCAATTCACCCTCTCTCGAGAACCTCTCTCTAGCCCCGAAACCCCCCGAAAAGCCTAGGGAACCTCCCTAGCACGAGACGGAAGCCCCTGAGCGCCTGACGACTCGGGAACGCTGCTCCAGCGGAGCCCGATTTTGAGAAAAACCCGTTGTAAGTGAGCTACGTCTAACCTATCTTTAGTATAGCTTATGTTTTAATATAGTAGTGTTATTAGGACCTTATAATAAGTATTTGGGCTATTATTATGAGTTATATAAGTGTCGTTATAATATCTTTTTAACCACTCGCGGTACGGGGAATCTAGTTTAAAGGGCCGCATAGGGTTGTTGGATTTCAGAAGTGCTATATGCCAAAACGGTCCTGCCCTCCGGTGTTTTATGTCTGGCCCCTGTCTATATATAGTGGTTGAGAAATATTGTTTCGTGCTTATATAATAGTAATAATAGCAAGACTATTAATTAGTCTCGGTGAATATTAGACTAAACTTTAGCGATAATACTGCTAGGTTTCGTCAAAGGAAAATAGAATCGTTAAAAGTGAAGCATTGCCCGAGTTTGGAATCATCACTTTAACAAGTGAGTGCATAGTTACTTTCATCTTACACATAGATATGAAGTATTTTATATAAATTACGTGCTATGTGTGCATATTATCTGTATACTTGTTATCTATGCTGGATGAACGATTTTATACATGTTTTAAATAATTTAAACTGTATATGTATTTTATATCTACGAATATGTTGGGTAAAACATGGGTAGATGAATGATGAGAGATGAAAGATGATATGAGTGAACATTGGAAGCTATAGACTTAGTGCCTAACAAATAACATCGGCAGCTATGGACTTAGTGCCTATTGAATACACGATGGTAGCTACGGACTTAGTACCGGTTAGATAAACGTTGGTAGCTATGGACTTGGTACCTGTTAGATAAACGTTGGTGGCTATGGACTTAGTACCTGTTAGATAAACGTTGGTAGTAATGGACTTAGTGCCTGTTAGATAAACGTTGGTAGCTATTGACTTAGTACCTGTTAGATAAACGTTGGTAGCTATGGACTTACTACCTGTTAGATAAACGTTGGTAGCTATGGACTTAGTACCTGTTAGATAAACGTTGGTAACTATGGACTTAGTACCTATTAGATAAACGCTGGTAGCTATGGATTTAGTACCCGATGAATGAACTTTAGCAGCTATGGAATTAGTGCTTTACGAACGAGCATTGGCAGCTATGGACTTAGTGCCTGTCATATAAACCCTGGAAGTAATGGACTTCGAAAAGACCGAATGCATGATAGATGATTCTTAGGGTAGATCCTTAAGAGTAAGGAAGATAATGAGGATGGGTAATTGGGTTGATTGTTTGATGTTTAAACACAATAATTAAATTATTGTGGGTTAAAAACCCTATGTACTCACCAGGTTTCCCAACCTGACCCACTCAAGCTTATTTGTATCACAAGTGTCGATGTGAAGTTACATTACACTGAGAGATTAAAGAGATGTAGATCACTAGTGTAAATGAATGTAAGTTCTGTTTATGCTTATGTTTCTGTATTGACAATGACATCCCAAATGTTTTAAAATAAATAAAAATACATTTCTTCGGAAATGCTTCGATAACGTATTTATCATGTTTTACTGGGAACAAATTCCGCAACATTTTTATTAAAAGAAGTACTCTGATTTTTATAAAGCATAAACAAAATCGGTCTTTTCTGGCCGTGAAAATGGGGATGTCACAGTTGGTATCAGAGCATTAGTTTAAGCGAACTAGGAATAATGATTTATTTCTAGACTTAAACTTAGAATGCTAAGCGATGATCGTGAGGAGTGTGTCTAATATATTTTAGGAAGTACGTCTGAATAGATACAAGCACTAGCTTAATTAGGGAAGACGCCTAAGATGCTTTTATGTGCTAAATAATTTTGATGCTTTATGATATCGTTTGATGGGATCTATGGTCTGTTGCCGACCGGATCTGGAATTTGTATGTGTTCAGATTTCTAAGCGTTTAGTTACGATATTAGAACTGTCATATAATTTTTCGAAGTAATAAGGAGGAATACGCGTCTAAATCTTCCTCTATCTATATTCTCGTATCGATACACCGAACGCCTGCATTGGTGTATAGAATGTCATGATAAGGACTCATAGCAGACTGAGCAAATGGAGGAAATGAGAAGGCTTAAGATATTGAATGATACCTATCGGAAGATATTTTAAGAGTGATATCTTGCCTTTAGAATGCATCTAATAAATAATACGTCTAGTACCGGAGAAGTGCACTTTCGATTAGCAGAAAAAAAGATTTTTGGTATAATCCATGAAGTTATCCCATCATATGGAATTTCCACCACCAACCGAGTTGAAACAGAATTGATGATTGAAGATACGCATGGAGGAAGTCCTAGTAGAGTCTAGGGGAAATTTTATGATTGTTTGGACACATTTTTATGTGTTAAAAAATTGT